TCTGGCTGTCAGTAGGGATGAAATAGAATGAAAGTTACTACCGTAACTACGGTTCTATGAATCCTGGATAACCGCCAGAGTGCTTGGTCCCTCGGAATGTCTGCTTTCACGAGAAGATTGAGGGATTGATTGCCGGGTGCCACGTGACTATATAGAGTCACGTGGGTCCCCGGCAGGTCACAGCTGACTTTGTTGTCATTAATACTCGACCTGCGCATGCGCATGAATGATCATTCAGTGCTTGAAGCACCGCCTCTGGCGGTCATCCGGGATTCATAGAACCGTAGTTACGGTAGTAACTTTCGATCTTTCAGCAGCTAATCTGCTTGGTGACAGCAACCTCTCTCTAAGGACAGGACAGGGGGCTTCCCTTTAAGAGCAGCTGGTTTTATTCAGGGTTTGAAGAACTCTGTAGATCTAAAAACTTTATTTCTTCATATAGTTGTCAACGGCTGACTTTAAAAGGCAGCAGATAAAGGAGCTTTAACTAAATGTTAGTTTGCTTCATGCAGGATGTTCCCTTTCCATGTGTTAATCTTTTTGTGTTTGCAGAGCGTTTGCACCTTTCAGCCTCTAAACTCTACACATTAAATGTTTCTCTGTCCTCTCTTTGGATTATAGGTGTTCAACCTCCTTTGTGCTCATTTCTTTCCTCCCCAGGTAAAGGAAAGACACCTCTTCGACGTTCCAAAGGAGCTGCTGTCTGTGATCAAGGAAAGGCTTTGGTGTCGCAGGGCACCTGTGAGAAGAGCTGTCAGGTAACCAGCGAACAGATCAAGGCAGACGTAAAGGCTGCTACAGAGACCTGCAGGAGATCCGCAGCTAAAGAAAAGGGCTGTGAGATGGAGGGGGGCGCGGCGAGGCAAAGGGCTGACGGTGGGTCGGTCCAAAGCACCGGCAGCAGCGGAGCGGCATCCAGCTGCAGGACCAGGCCCATAACGGGATCTGTGAGCAGGGTAGGAGCTGGAACGGCTCCTGGACACACGCAGGGATTTGGGAGGAATGCTGACAGGAACACCTGCAGCCCGACCGCTGACAGATCTACTGGCTGTGGAAGGACTGGTGGATCTACATGTCATAGATCTGACCTGCAGGCAGGAGACGGTCCCACAGCGAGGAGAGGATCCGGCAGCAGCAGAAACCCACCATCAGGATGCGCTTCCAGTGGGACGCCGCAGGAACGACAGCGAAGCAGAGAGCCCGCCATGGCTGGACTGGATTGTTCCCAGCATAATGAGGGCTGTCAGAACTTCATTCCAAGGCGGCCTTTAACTAGATCCTGCACCACCACGTCTGCAGAGTCCTGGGAACCAGAACCAGGTACTAATCAATGAGCAGAGAGGCTCTGACTGCTGAGAACCTATGGAAACCCTCTCTGAAAACACTCTGACTGACTGATTTACTGACTGACTGATTTACTGACTGATTTACTGACTGACTGATTTACTGACTGATTTACTGACTGACTGATTTACTGACTGACTGATTTACTGACTGATTTACTGACTGACTGATTTACTGACTGGCTGATTTACTGATTGACTCATTTAGTGACTGACTGACTGACTGATTTACTGACTGATTTACTGACTGGCTGATTTACTGATTGACTCATTTAGTGACTGACTGACTGA